ATTATTATATTCTTTATTCAGTTCGATTACTCTAAGCATTACCTAGTGCAAGTATATACATGTTAAAAACTGTTGATATTTTTGCTTATATTTAAATTTCATTTAGATTCAATTTTCTGTAAACTCAAATCCAGTGGTCAAGCAACTACTTGACATATAGATGGCGCCACTTAATGTAGCTACCTAAAAGTATGCAACACTTTTTGTTCACGAATATTTACCAGCAAAGGAATTCTTCTAACAGGAGCATGAGGTGGTATTTGAATTGAAGCATCAATATATTCAATCATTAGACTTTTACCTAGCAGACCTCACAAAATATATAGAAGCTGAGCCGATATAATCTGTCTGTTTGCCTGATCATGTAAGCCACTTGCGTATTCCATATTCAGTACGAGGTTATAATTAAAGACGGTAATCTTATTTTTATACACTCGTAATTGATCATAGTTTCTTCTGAGTACTCCGTATGGCAACATCCATTAATAACTGGCAAATAGAAACTAGCCTTATTTAAATAGAGATCTCTCTGCCTTTAGTGAGGCATAGAGCTTTGCCTGAAGGCTTAGCCACTTAATTGATATAAAATGCGAATGAATCAATCACAAGATAATTCCATATATATTTATATATATAAATTTCGTGACTGACACGATGTCTATGAAATCAATTTGAATTCATTCATTAATTTCTTGCTGCCTCGACGCGACTCGATTCGTTTTTGGGACTTAGCATAAATGTTTTGGGGCTTAAATGTTTAGAGACGGCGTTTTGGCTCGCGTTTTAGGCATTTTGTGTGATTTGTCAATGCAGCGTAAAGAGTATAATTAATCTGGAATCGTTTTGAGGCCAATAATCAAATGTGCATTAGTCATTCGAGCACCTAATCAGACTCTAGTTGGACGCATGCCTATGCCTACGGCTACGACGTATGCGTATGCGTCTAATCCCCAGCCACGTCGTATTACCACAGCAAACAAAGGCCAATGTCAAAATCTGACAGTGTGAAGCGTTAGCTACACAATAAATTAATAAATTAAACAAAAAAGTATAAAAAAGAAGAAGCACAGCTTGTTACGAAAATGCAAATTTATGCCGCGCCTGCTGCATTCACTTTTTATATATATTTTATCAACATGATGTGTTATATTTTGGTTTTAATTTTTTTTTTCAGATAAACTCAGCTCTTGATTTAAGATTTGCGAAATGCGTTTAACTCCAAATAAATGCAAATCCCTTCGGTTTCACATTACGAACGGAAGTCGATCGGAGATAGTTTTTAATATATTTATATATGAATAGAGGGTATATAGGGTATATATTTGGAAAGATTCTTCTAATAATAAGCAGGTGGAAGAGTTGAGATAAGAATAATTTTATATAATATAGGACTAGATATTTCCCATTTGGTATATAACCTTTATAAATAAATATAAGATATTTTATATTTTATTGCTTACAAATTCTAATAAAAATGCTTAAAATTTCTATAAATTGCTGTAAAATCAGCCTAGGTATCTTCTAGCCGGATACTGCTTTACTAGAGCGCTCTTACTAATTTTTGCATATTTATTAAATGTGAAGCAAACGATTTCCCCTTCCAATTCGCTACTTCGCTTTGGGTCATGCCTCTGGAGCAGTGGCGTGAGAAAGTGTGAAACCTGTTTGCTTAGCTCCGGTTGGACACAATTAGTAGATCTGTGGATCTGGTGCTAGCTAGGGCTGAAACTGCATCACTTGCATAAGTTGACCCATTTAATGCTTGGCTTAGTACTGGGGCGCAACATTGGCTAAGAGTGCAGCGTGGGACGAATATGACTTTCCTTATCATAATTGGATTACATATAAATTTACTGCTGCACATTTATTTACCATAACTGTCCGGCTTAATTAGATAATGCCCGTTATGACAACTCATTTCCGTTTAGCCCTAAACTAAACTGAATTAAACGGGGACTAAACGGAGACCGAACTGAAAACGAGAGCTTTCGATTTGACAAAGTGATTTACCTTCACTTTTGTGTATCGCAACTGCTTAATAGATGAATTTGGATTATATATGTATAGCTATATATATTTACGATATGTATGCGGGCATTTGTATCAATTTGGCGCATTTAAAATTGACAAATTTAATATGTGTTTCGATATAGCTGCACACAACAAAAAACTAGACCTTGACGTTATCTTTACAGCACGCAAAATACGGAGGCTTCGCCGTCTCCCAAAGCCCAAATCCCAAAACCCCATACCCATTCCATTTGCATTTGCATTCACATTCACGCATTGGCATTTTGGCCTCTTACGCTTCCAGCTAGTACAGTCGGTTCGATCGGATAGATCGATTGTAACCAACCGATTGTAGCCTCGTCGTAATATTTGCATGACAAATGCCTAAGTCATTCAACTTCAATGCAAATAATTCCAACACAATGCAAAGTTTATTATTTTCCTTAGCATTTATGATTTGTTTAACACCTTTTGTTTCCCTTTGTCTTTTTAGATTTATTATTTTGTCTTTGCCATAATTAAATAAAATTAATAAAAATTTTTGGCAAAATATTTGCTCTATAGCGTGTTCTTTTGTTAGGTGAAGTTTTGGACACGCTCTATATATAAAACAATGGATTGTAAAAAAAAAAAAAAAAAAAAAACAACATAAATATGTATCTAAAATCGCGTATATATGTATGAACGAATATATATGTATGTATGTATATACTTATATCTAAACCTTTAAATATAACGAGAGCTAAAAAATTAAAGTCTTGAATATTTATATTTCATCGGAATGTGAACGGAATATTTTATCATTTAGACCATGAATAAAACTAATTCTAAATTCTATAAATATGTTTAGAATATGTTTATACTAGATTTGTGCTTAATAAACTTTACTAAAATGTTATTGGTATAGTAAATTAATTTTTCTTCCAGAAAATAAAACAAAATCAAGGTCAAGAAATTTTTAATGGTTTTTTATCAATAGATAGTAAATTGATTTTGTGAAAAAAAAATAATAATAATAAAAATAATCATAGAAACATAAAACATATTTAATGTGAATATATTCTCAAAATGATTATTTACAAAAAAATTATTTATGTATATTTTTTTGAATTATTTATTTTTATTTTGTGAGATGAATTCTCTAACGGGACTAGACATCTATTAAATAGTTATCTGTTATGAATGCTTGCCAAGTGGTCTTCTGTAGTGTTCTTTTAGACAAAGACTATAGCCATTCACAATAATAGGTAACAATTAACTTAATTATTTATTTATGCATAGTCCGAGAATACTTAAATTAATGAGAAAATATCTTTTGTTTCTCGCCAATGGAGAGGCCATTTAATGGATTGGTTTATTTGTGGTGCTAGCCACTACGGCATGAATTTCTGAATTTCTCTTGTTTATATCGACAGTAGCAATGAAATTCATTGAAAAAAAAAAAAATGAAATTCATTCAGATAGATAGAACGAAAGACAAGACGATCATTGCATAAATTCACTAAGAGACGAATAAGAAATAACATAAAATGTAAGCTATAAAATCAAAACTGAAATGAAATCAAGTTCAGACTTCAGTTTCACATGTTTGTAAATAAAAATTCTTGAAATTTAAGTAATATTAATTTAATTAAATTAAATTTGCTTTAGCAAATATTATTCTATCTAATTTGTAAGCTAAATTAAACCCCACTCAGCTGCTGTTAACTGTTAACATGTTGGATCTTATCTCGAAAGTTTTACCACTATTACTCCTGTTTAAAATGCAGCCCTATCACATTTGACGATATTGAAGATGCGTAGCCCCTGCAGCTCCATTCATTCGATGTCATGTCAAACTAGGGTAAGGTAAAAGGGTGAAGTCAACAAACAACTTTATTTCGTCCATTGTCAGAGCGAGCTCCACTTGATTTGTTGGCCCACAACAATGGCCTGTTTTGAGGCGTAACAAAAAGGCCCAACTGCCAGCTGCCACTTGCCACCCAAACGCCCTACTAGCTGCCTCTCGCTCACTCACATACACACGCACACACATGCCATCTCTCTTTGTTTGCTGTTTGCATATGAAATGTTGTTGACTGTTGCAACTATTTTTTTTTTGTTTTCTTTATTTTTATTTTTGATTGTGACTGCCGTTGCTGCTGTTTCATTATTTGTTTCCGATTATAAACTTGTTGGCGCACAGCTTGGCCGCGTATAAAAGGCGTTGTCAGCGCTTGACCCATCATCACAACCACTTGACCCACAGCCAGCTAGAGAGCAGCCAGAGCCACAGCGTGTGCAACTAACTAAGTCCCAAGCAGCAGCATGAAGATATTTGTGGTGCGTTTTCAATGGATTTAACTGGACATTCAAAAATATATATACATACATATATATATCATATGTATATATCTCATGGATTATCAGTGCTTAAACCAAACTTCTTCTCTCCTCTTTAGACCATTCTTGTGGCCGCTTTGGCCTTGGCCCGTGCCGACATCAGCCTCACGCAGCAGGGCTACAACTACCGCCAGCAGCAGCAGCAGCAGCAGCAGCAACAGCAACAGCAACAGCCAACTGTTGTGGCTCATTTGCTTAACCAGCAGCTGCAGCAGCAACAGTCGCAGCAGTCGCACTCATCGCACCCAGTGCTGCCGCCTCTAGCCGTGCCACTGCCGTATCTGCCACCTGTGGGCCAGCAGTACCACTCGCAGCCTCAGCGTCTGCCCGCTCCCTTCCCCATGCCCTCCAACTTCCCAGTGAACTTCCAGACGGCGCCGCTGCAGCAGACGCGTCGTTCGCGTCCACGCGTTCGCATTCCCAAGAAGCCAATCGTCACCAAGAACTTCTTCATTCACACGGCACCCGAGGAGTCTGATGACGAGATTCAGGATGAGCTCCAGCAGCTGAACCAGCAGCCACGCAACCACTACAACGTGCTGTTCGTGAAGACGCCCGCCCAGACGAATCGCGCGGCTGCCCTGAATCTGGCCAAGAGCCTAAAGCAGGAGAAAACTGTGGTCTATGTGCTGGCCAAGAAGACAACGGCCGCCGATCTGCAGGACGCCATTGCCGAGGCGCCACAGCACATCAACAAGCCAGAGGTGTTCTTCATCAAGTACCGCACTCCGGAGGAGGCGCTCAATGCCCAGCGCCAGATCCAGACCCAATACGATGCTCTGGGCGGCAGCTCCACCATCACCGACGAGGGCTTGGCGCCAATCACCTCCGTCGTTGGCTCTCTGGACGCACCCGAAGAGGAGGAGGAGGAGCAGCAGCAGCAGCAGCAACAGCAACAACAGCAGCAGCAGTCCAACGATATCAGTGGCAGCGCTAACCTGAGTGGCACCATCAATGGCAACCTCAATGGCAACCTCATTGGCAACGGGCCAATCAACAATCACTATCTGCCCTCGAATCAGTTCTAAAGTATCTTCATTGCTCACCCATTGCGAATCTTAGTTAGTTCGTCCACATCCCCGTTGAACTCTCGCATTTTATTGTTGTCTAAGTTTATAAGTGAATTTATAGTTGTTTAAGTACATCCTGTAACCAATCCGTATTAAAAATTTTTTATTGAAAAAAAAAAAAATTAACTTACTGAATTTTAGAAAACTTCAATTTCTGAAACAAAATCTAATTATTTTTAATCAAAGCAAAGCTTTAAAGTTGTTATTACCTTGAAACCATTGAAAAAAGAGAATTGGTATCTAAGAGACAGAAGAAGGATTGGCTGATCACGTAAAGGATATATAGTAGAATCCAGTTATATCGACTCCGCTTATAGCATCCGTACGATTAGTGATAGATAAAAATAAAGTAAGGATTCAAAATAGTATTATTATTTTAATTTTGGATTTATTCATATATCTGTTTTAGCTATCTAGAATAGAATAGAAGAAACTTGTGTGGTCTTTCGTCAGTCCATATAGTCAGCTTTATTAAAAGACATCTTTAGACCAAGCCAAGATTTCATTCGACATTTCCTCAATCTCTGTAGAACGGTGGATCTCTACCGATGCCTGGATTAATGACAATGTGATTTACTCCTCCAAGCTGCCAGCTCCTCAGTTCCTGCCGCTGCCGCCGCCTCATGCAGACTGAGATGGGTGCGTATGAAGTCGTGATAGTAGGCAATGCTGGCGCTGGCATCCGGCTTGCCTCTGGCGCAGGGCATGCCCCAATTGACCAGGGCGACGAGTTTGCCGTTATGCACCAGTGGGCCGCCCGAGTCGCCGTGACAGGCGCCACGCCCCTTGTCGTTGTAGGTGCAGACGTGGCCAATGTCCACATGGCTGCTGTTGCCATGCGCCAGGCGGCACTCTTCGAAGGGCACATACTCCACCTCCAGGCGTTGCAGCTTGGCGGGCACCTCCCCGCCCAGCGACAGGGTGCCCCAGCCAGTGAGCAGGAGCCAGTCACCTGGCATCAGCGGCTCGTGGCCCAGCTGCACAGGCTGTGTGGCATTGTCGAAGACAATCGATTCGTTCAGATGCAGCAGCGCAATGTCGTTGCGATACTTGCGTGGCTCGTAGTCGCAGTGCTCGAGGATTCTGTCCACGTAGTAGTACCGGGAAACATTCTTCTTCAGGTCCTGGGTGCCTGCGAGCACTCGAAAGGCTTCGGGCGTTTTGCCATGGATGCAGTGAGCCGCAGTCAGAATCCAACGTTCCTCAATGATGGCGCCGCCACACGAGTGCTGCCCGCTTGTCGCGCTCTGGAGGGAAATTTGATAGGGTGCCATGCCCTCGGGCGCATCCTCGCCGCCCACAATGCGCTCCCTGGTGAACTGTGGCGGATAGAGCAACTGCTCCTCCAGCCGCACACCAGCTACGAGGAGGTTTACTAAGAGCAGCGGGAAAAACATTGCAAATGGTGTGTGGCATGCAACAGGCTGTTGCTTTTATGGCTTCTTCAAGTTCAGCTTTGACATGCTTGTCACGTAAGCCCTAGATTTCCCCGCATTAAGCAGGTCTGTGCTGATAAGCCAACCACTGCTCACGCTGCGAGCACGAGGGCGGAGACAGACATTCACGAGCATTCCCCAATAGCATTCCCAATAGAGTCAGCTCTGCTTTGATTGCCGCCACTCGAAGTTTCTTATGGCGTATTCGCAACGGGATTTCTAATAATCTAGAGATAGTAATTTAAAGAGCGTCAGCCTTGGTGCTTGGGTTGCTATTTTGAGTAGAAGTTGGCATAATAGAGTAGCTCAAGGTCTCATGTGTCATTGTCATGTAGATTTTATAAGTAGTCTAAATGTATTTTAACTGTGAAACATGTAGTAACAGTAGAACATTCAAGGGACTGTCGTTATACCCGGAAGACTTATATGGTTAAGTTTGAACATATAAGTTTATCTGGGGGCCAGAATTTTCATCGCATTAGCCATACGGACGCTATAAGCGGAGTCGTTATACCCGGATTCTACTATAGTTGTTTCTCGAAGTAGTATTTGTATGTATTAGTGAAACATATGTATGTTTCATGAAACTCAGCTTAGCTTTTCTTAGCTACAAACCATACATATTCTAGAATTTCAAAATAATGTTTCATTGAAATCGAACAGCTTCTTTTTGTCCTGAATTATTAATTTTCTAACTTCTTCACAGTTCTCTATTTGCTGAGGCTATAAGTCACCTTAATGAATATTTAAGAAAAACTGTTTAATTTTAATGTGCAGAAATATACCATTAAAGCTCTTGTATAATCTCTTGATTCGGGGCTCTATCAACATGTTAATCAACATTATCATATAGGAAGCTTAGTTTTTCAAGTATTTTTCTGGGTTTTGATTTTTAATGCGCAGCTCGATGATATCAATTCTTGTCGATAAGGTTCCTTTCTGATAGTTTCGTCATGTTGAAGCAGCTCATGGTAGATCCCTCCGAATTGATACCACCAAATGGACTGCATTAGCTTTTTGTTATGAGACTTGGCAGTTGAAGTTGAAGCATGCACTTAACTCATTATATTCTGGGTTGTCAACATTTCGACTGCTGTACCAAAAAAATCATAAAGAACCTTTCCAACAGGACCTTTGGGTTCGCAATTTGTGCTTGCAGCTAAAAATTCAATTAGATGAATCTGACTTGGGAAAGATCTCTCTATCCGAATATCTCTGAATATATTAATGTTACAACGAACATTTACTGGAGAATTACCAAACTCCTCTTTAATCTGAGCATAATCAAAATTATTATTAAGTAATAGCAATTACTTTTTAAGAATTGAATTCTAATCAAAGTCTGCCTAGCTATTTCTTTTTGTTTTTTTGGCAACTCTTGATAAATATATTTTTATTGTTTATTAGAAATTGGATGATAACTACTTAGTAGGCTTATCAGGCAATGATTGCCTAACAGCTGCCGACTTGGCTAAGAATAGACAACAAATTGACTCATTGGACGATCAGCCATGCGTCGTCAATTTCAATTTTATGACTAAAAAATTCGCACATTCGGAATTTCCATAGGCTGTTCCTTTTCAACTGTCCAAAAAACAGGTTCATAAAGTGATAAAGAAATAATGGACATCTTTATAGGTTCATAATTTGTTCATAAATATTTTATATTTTTGCGATATATGCGTGATAAAAATGTACAGTGTTTGGACTTATCGTCTATAGTCTTCTGGTTATATTTGTAGGTACATATATATATTTTTGTTCGGTTTGGCTTCTATTCGCCTGTTGGCTTTGTTCGACATGCTTTGACGTCTTCTCCTAATCATTCTAAAGGGACTTTTCCAGCTCGACCTTCGTCTTCTTAATCCAGTCTAGGTAATAGGCCACTGAGGCATACACATCCGGATAGCCCAAAGCACAGGCCTCACCCCAGTTGACCACGCCCACCAATATTTGATTCGCATCGACGAGGGGGCCACCCGAATCGCCATGGCAGGATCCTTCGCCCTCCTTTGTGAAGCTGCAGATGTGTCCATCGCCCACCCAGCTAGCATTGCGCACCTGGGTCCTGCACCTGTCGCGCTCCAAATACGCCAGATCGATCTTCTGCAGCTGGGTTACATAACGTCCCCAGGCGCGGGGACTGCCCCAGCCGCTTAAGGTAACCTTATCGCCCGTCTTCAAGCTCTGCTTGCTGGCCAATTGGATGGGCTGTGTGCGATTGTTGAAGACAATGGGCGTGGCTGTGTGTATAAGTGCGATGTCGTTGTGGTACATTGGCTTGTCGTGGCTGCTGTGCTTCGCGGCCGCATCCACCAGATGCTCAGCGCCGGGCTTTGTGTAGTCATTGGTGCCAGTCACGATCTTCAGGTATTGAATGGGCCACTCCAGGCAATGGGCAGCTGTTAGTATCCAATGCTGCCCAATGATGCTGCCACCGCATACATGCTCGCCGAAGGTGTTCATGATGGAGACTTGGTAGGGGGCCCAGCCCTCGGGTGCATCTGTGCCACCAACGATGCGCGACTCGGGTCGCACCACGTCCAAATCCAGCTGACGGCTCAGCTTACGGGCCAACCTCACGTGGCGTGCGAATCCACACTGGGCAAAGATCAGCAATGCGCTGACCAAGATGAGGAACTTCATTTTAACACTCTGTTTGGGTTTGCGTTACGCGAATTTCAATTTCGAATTGTGAAGATTCCGCTGTCTGGTTTTCCTTTTATAGTCGGCTACCTGTTGCCCTTATCGGCAGTCAGCTTTCTTTGAATACGCGAATCTTTCAGATAAGAGACTCAGACTCGATTCCTAGTAAGTTCCGCAAGTGACATTACCATAGCCAACAAGCTGATAAGCATGAAATTCGAAATTCTAGCTAGGCGGAAAAGTACCTCCAATCAGTTGGTTGACTGGTAGCGAATCGACAACAAATTACTCATACGCCGCGTTAGCGAACTTTGATCGACAGGCAATCTCAGTTGCGCACACGTCGATAGACGCCACCTCCGGAACTCTCCATTTCACAGCAGACAATAAAAAGCAATAATAATATGTACTTAGTCTTAATTATTCCTAAATCATTGCCCACTCAAACACAAATCAATCGAGCAAAAGCTACACTGTTCCAAAAGATTGTAGTCTATATTTCTAACTTGATTAGCTAAAGGTTTAAAGATCGATATATTCCATATATATTTAAAAACATTAATTTCTTGACAGTTGTCAAATCATTGCCACATAAGTCACGCAGTCCATAGTTTACTCAAAAAAAAAAAAAAAAAATTAAAATAAAAATAAAATGATTCAAAATCAATGATTAATATAAATGATTAACGAAAGCCAAACTAAATATTATGGAATTTGGGGTTGAGGCAAATTCTGTCAATTTCAATCGATAAATCTCAAGTCTCGAAAGAAAATTATATCTTTTATTTTTAGAGGATTTTGTCTGTAAGTAGTATAAGACTCATTTACTTAATGGTCCTCTTATAAGAATTTGTGCCTATTTTACAGAGTCCCAATAGGTATAAAAAATTAGTCATATTCAAACTGGAATTCATTCACTTTTTAAAATGTAAAATGAATTTCCTCCAATTAATATTAATTTAAAAATCATAACTTTTTTGATAAAAGTCATGTCGGACTCTACTATATATTACTTAGAGTACTCAATACTATACGGTTTATCCTGATTCAAATGTTGTTTCTATTATTTGTCTAAGTCAAATTATTCTCACAGTATATTTGAAAAGATAAAAAAAAAAACAATTTCCAAACATTTCTTTCATTGATTGTATTGTAAGCAAGCAAAATGTTAATGTGGGTGCAAGAGTCCAATGATTACAGCGATACCATCATCCAGACGTCTGGCCAAGATTACGGACATGACTTACGGTAGTTTAATAGCACAGCCCTTGATCGTGCTCTGAATCCAGTCGTGATAGTAGCTGACACGCGCAAAGACATCTGGGTAGCCGTGGCCACAAGGCACGCCCCAGTTGCCAATGCCCACGAGACGACCCTTGGAATCGACCAGTGGACCGCCGTGGTCGCCGTGACAGGCGCCGGCACCTACCTTGCCCACGGCACACAGGTGTCCGATATCCAGGTCGGGTGTTTGGAAATAGGTGGAGTTACAGCGAGCTGTCGGCACATAGGTCAGCTCGAGTTGCTTCAGATTGTCGACAAGTTCGCCGCTCGTCTCGTCGAGGCCCCAGCCCGTCATTGTCAGCTTCTCGCCCTCGACCAGATCGTCTACAGCGGCGATCGTAATGTTCTGCGTGACCTCGTCGTAAGCGACCAGCGTTTGCATCTTGATCAACGCGATATCATTATGGTACAGCGGCTGATCGAATTTGCAGTGCAGTATGATATCCTCCACATAATACTCCCAGGCTGGACCTGCCCATTCATTGGTGCTCATCACGACCTTTACGTTGTTCTTGCGCATGCCCGCCAGGCAACTGGCCGCGGTCAGGATGTACTGATCGTGTATGATGACGCCGCCACACATGTGATTGCTGCAAGAGATGGGCGAGCAATTAGGCTGGGTTATGCTTGGGTTTACTTGGTTATATAAGGTTAAGGGCAAGGTCAATAAAAATCAGATTAAAGCTACATTGTATTTAGCATGTTCAATCCCATTCTGTTTTATATAAAAATTGCAATTTCATGCATTGTAATAATTTTAACAATGTTAATGTTACAACATATTTATATAAAAAGTAGCATGCCCTAAATTTCCTATTTTATAGACTTCGGTTTATAAAAAGAACCCTTCAAAGTTTCAGATAAACTACATAAATGATATGCTGTTAACTTCAGAAAAACTAATTCCGATCTTTTTAAGTTAAGTGATATAGCTTTATCCAAAATTTTATTTAGGTAAATGAGTGTAATAAAAGAGGATATTTTTGATTATTTTGTTTTGCTACTGCACAAAGTAAACCTAAATATTAGACTAGAATTTTAGTTAGGATGCGTGATGTTGGCTTGCCGTCAAGGATATGTAGTTCTATCTCGAAGCTGTGCTTCAGAGTTAATGTGTATGAGCTTGTATATTTTATTGTAACTCTAAATTGGAAGGTTTTCCCATATTTTATCCAAATTTTTTTTCTTTCTATTATTTATATTTAGATTATCCAATTATTTATTTATTATATATATGTATTTATAGCAATACTTTTATCACAATATATAATTGCTCAAAACTGTTCACCATATTGATATTATTTATATTATTGTCATTAAATTTATCTTTTCTCGGTTGGTCTTTATTCATGTGTTAATATTTATTAATTTATTAGTATTATTAGTATTATTGTTATTTTTATTTTTTTATTATTTATCAAATTCACTAGATTCACTTCACTTTCTCAATACATCCACTTGATGCACACAATCCGCTTTGTTTTACATGTTATATAACTTATTATGCATTCGTATGTACCCGAACATATTCTGTACGGAGACCTGATAGGGTGCAGCACCCAAGGCCACCTGTTCGCCGCCGACAATGCGAGAACTGAAGGCGGACGCAGGCCTCGATGGGAAGACGCGACGCTGATCTGCTCCTTGCGAGCAGGACAGCAGCAGCATTAGCAAGGAGAGCGATACTCCGGTGTGGTAAGACATGTTAGCAGCTCAGTTGAAAGTGGACTGATCTAAAGGTTGGCCCAATGGCAAGCAGCTAAGCAATGCCTTGGATATTAATGACCCGCCATAAAGTTGGCCTAATATCAATCAGAATAAAACCAATTGTTGTTCGATACATGAAAATCCCATAACTTTTATTGAGGCAACTAGAAATCAAGAGCTGATAATGGACTTATGGCCTAGTCTTGCCGCAGCCTGTTGTGATGGTGCGTATCCAATCGTTGTAGAAGGCCACGCGACTGTAGACATCCGGATAGCCGAGGCCACAGGGTACGCCCCAATTGCCGATGCCCACCAGCTGCTGCTGGGCGTTGACCAGTGGACCGCCGGAGTCGCCATGGCAGACGCCCTTGCCCGCCTCCATCTTGACGCACACATGACCCAGATCCACGTCGTCRTCGTTTTGCAGCACCTTGCGGCACTCGGTCACGGGCAAATAATTGCCCTGCGACTGCAGCAAGTACTGCGAGTTGGTGCCACCGGCCCATTCGGTGCCCCAGCCTGCAAAGGTCAGCCGCTCGCCATCCTGCAGCTCATCGATCTCCGAGAGCGTTACCTTGGCCACATGCGCATTGTACTCGATGGCCCCCGTCAAGTGCAGCAGCGCAATGTCGTTGTGATAAAGCGGCTTATCAAAGTTGCAATGGACGTGTATCTGGTCCACATAGTAGCCCGGCGCCGTGTTGTTCCAGGAGCTGACAGTGCCCGCTATGGCAACCAAGTTGCGTGGACGCAAGCCGGACACGCAGCTGGCCGCGGTCAGAATCCAATAGTCATCGATGATGACGCCGCTGCAGAAGGGGAACCCGAACTGATTCTGCAGCGAGACAATCCAGGGCCAAGTGCCCATCGGTGCCTGCTGTCCACCCACCACGCGCCCCTGGATAAGTCTCGGATTGGAGTGCAGCTGCATCCCCTCGGCTGCCTCGCCTGGCAGCAGCTGCTGTCCACGCAGACGCAGCCCCTCAGCAGCGAGACAGAGACAGAGGCAGAGATAGACGCTGAGCGGCCAAGCTGATCTCGAAGTCGACGCCATTGATGTGAAGTATTGAACTGAAACTGAAACTCATTCACGATCAGCTCTGGAATTACACATCGGCTATGGCTTATCGCTGGGTTATGACTTCTTTATGGCCAATGGCGGGACGATAAGTTTTGTCCACTAATTGCCCCTGGTGCAGGCGGACATGATGTGCTGCACCCGGGGCCCCCGCCCCGTCCCTTTAGCCCACAGTCGTATCTCCGCCCAGTTTATAGACCCTCCAATCGAACGCATTTACCGTGCGGGTTTTATCCAGCTCATCGTAAAGATATGCAAACTGATATGGACTTTATTTACATTCATAAAGATTTGACCAGTTTGTTGCTTTAGCCACACATTCCGCGATAGCCACTGTGCCAAAAACTTTCCAGGTGCAATAAAGGGCTACACTGAGAGAAACACTAGGATAGACTGAGAGCTCAAATTGGGTGTATGCTCTGCAATTATCGTTGGGTCTATACATAGATCATATTCATATTGTTAGAATAAGTCGAATCGGATATTAGATATAGTAATCAGAATTATTCGATGATCTCGGAGAGTAGCATTACAATTTGAGCTTTCAGTCTTCGCAAATATATTAAATTTATATTGTTCTTTAAGCAATGAGGTAAAACCAGGATTATAGAGATAATGAAACGGATTATATTTCTACTAAGCCAAAAAAATTCGTAATTTAAGAGATTCCGAATATATGATTTGATAGCCCTATTTTTCCGAGTGTACCTAGCCGATATAAAAGCTTCGAGTAAATACTTTTAGTTTTTCATTGCTGGTCATTAATTGCAGTTCACACGTAGTTTCCATCGTCGATCGCCATGACTGCACTGAACGCGTCTTGGCTGTGCCTTTGTCTGCTGCTGGGCAGTTCCATTGACGTCAGCTGGGCTAAGCGTATCCATCATAAATATCCACAGGCATATGGCAATCGCATAGTCGGCGGCCAGGAGGCAGAGGAGGGGGCGGTGCCTTATCAGGTCTCGATACAAACGAGCTGGCAAACCAATATCTGCGGCGGAGTGATCATCGATGAGCGCTGGATCCTTACGGCCGGCCATTGTGCATTGGATTTCCCCATCGACGAGCTGCGCATTGTGGTGGGCACCAATGACAGACTTGTGCCCGGCCAGATGCACTATGTGGACGAGGCCTTCGTGCATTGCCTGTACGACATTCCAGCCGAATATGCGAATGACATTGGCCTGCTCCACTTGAATAAGTCGATTGTGTTCAACGAGCGCACACAAATTGCAGAGCTGAGTACAGAGTATCCGCCAGTCGGTGCTACAGTTACGCTCACCGGCTGGGGCTCGCCGCAGCTCAATTTCCCAGCCGTGGAGCGATTGCAGACCATCAACCTAACTGTAATCGATCACGGCGACTGCCGTGCCGCCTGGGATTACACGGATGGCGTCGACATAGGCCATATGTGCACCTTTACGAAGGAGGGCGAGGGCGCCTGCAACGGCGACTCCGGCGGACCCCTCACGTGGGAGGGCAAAGTGGTGGGCGTGCTGAACTGGGGCGCCCCGTGCGCCGTAGGCAAGCCGGATATGCACGCCAGCACGGTCTACTACGCTGACTGGATACGCCGCACCATGTCCCGTTGCAAGCAGCGCGTCAATTGAGCCGACTCATTGCCTATATCGGTCTATATATATACGATATACATTAGATAATATATAATTGCACAATACATGTTTTAATTGCATTCGTGGCCAGTTTAAAGTTCTCTTGGAAAAAATGGATATTCCCTTTTGAATTTATGAGTTTGTTTTCATTGAACAATTATTGGCGCTGACTGCCGAGCTGTTTGTTTTTATTTTGTGGCTTCATAAATATTATTAATTAATATCTGATGTGTGTGTTTAGGATATTGCGGCTTGTTTACTTTTATGAAGTATTTAGCCCCTGACTTGGTAATCACTTTATCTTTATGTGAACTCGATACAGTTCCTTACCTATGACTGGGTCGCTGAAGCTCAATAAGGAAATGTTGCTCATTTTAAAGAATATGAAAAATTCCATTGCACACTTCTTGCAGTGTATATTTATTTCATAAGAGGATTGCTTGGCTTAAAAAATTTTAAATAAATGAAAATAAATTTTAAAACAATTCATGTTCTTTATTTTGAATAAATGTGTAATATTATTTTAATTAAACGCGTCTAATCCAATTTTTAAATTTGTAGTATTTACTTAAAATATATCTTTTCACTAAACAGAAACTGTAGCCGAAAATTCCTTTCGTTATGGAAATGATAATTAGGCTACCCCAGATAATCTTTTAGATTTTTATATTATGATATCTTTACAGAGTAGCTTCATATTGGGAAGCTTAATCTAAACAAAAATACCATATATATCTCGAGATATTTTTTGCTGTCCCAAAGCACCTTAAGGCTCCCTTCAATATCCCTGGATATCGTGTACTTATGGACCCTTATGATCTTCTTCAGACGAGCACGCAAGTTATTTAACTGTGTTTTAGCTGTTATTCCATACCAAGGACAGACTGAATAACCATATAACTCATATAACTCCCAAATGGGCAGAATTTGGAAACTATAATCAGAAAGGGGTTTCAGGAGTGCCTAAATGTATATTAATAGTTTTGGCACCATTACATACTTCTAGCCTAGTCTTAAGCTCTCAAATTTGGACTGCTCCAATGCACTATTGTTTCATTGTTTAGAAGACTTTAAGGACTTTTATCGCCTTTTCTTCATTATAGTCAAAATTATTCCTTGTGAAAGACCCGACTCGTCTTACCACAATGTCCAATGCCACGCCCAAAAGTATGCTAAATCCATTTTCAACATCGATATCCGCAATTTTACAGAAGGCCGGCAGGAAGGAGCTGGCAAACTTGTGAGTCCCGTGTGGTTAGGGTATTTGCGGGTCTACATGCTTAAACCTATATCTTGTTCTCAGCATTGCCGAGTCATCAAGGCAGTGTCCGACTGCGATATTAATTACCTTCAACAAAATCGTAATCAGAACGCGTCTATATCAGTTTATGGGCTAGATATCGACAGTGGACGACATGCAGACCGATTTATGATCTAGTCAAAATTTGGCAGAGTATAAAAGGAAAATCACGCCGTGGAGGCGCGTTTAATACGCGTTCACAGATTGAGCTGTCAGAATGTGGAAAGAGTTCATAAGAGTCGGAATAGTCCTGTGCCTGCTCAGCTGGAGCATGCCAGCTGAGGGCAAGCGAATGCCAGAGGTTAGCGCCGAGAAGCTACAGCGATTCTCCCGGCCGGAGTCGGGCTCACGTGTCATAGGGGGCACGGATGCCGAGCTGGGACTAGCTCCCTATCAGATCTCGCTGCAGAGCATGTTCGGGGATCACATGTGCGGAGGCGTCATCATCGGTGAATATCACGTACTCACTGCCGCCCATTGTGTCTATGGCTATAATCCGCCGTACCTGCGCGTTGCGACTGGCACCGTGCACTGGATGCAGCCCGATGCCAGCTACTTTGTGGAGGAGTATTGGGTGCACTGCAACTACAATTCGCCTGACTATCACAACGACATTGCGCTGATACGGCTAAACGATTCAATCAAGTGGAACGAGTACACGAAGCCCGCCTTGTTGCCAGACGCACCGCTGGCAAATGGCTCCCAGCTGCTGCTCACGGGCTGGGGCTCCACGGAATACTACCGCGATGCGGGCGACAGGCTGCAACAGGCAACACTCACGTATGTGGACTACGCCACCTGCCAGGAGATAATGGGCGGCGATGAGGACAACGGGCCCGGACACATATGCACGCTCACGGACGAAGGCATGGGCGGCTGCCATGGAGATTCGGGTGGCCCAGTTGCCTGGGATGGCATCGTCTATGGCATAGTCAACTGGGGCCATCCCTGCGCCATTGGCTATCCTGACAGCTATGCGTCGACGTATTACTATCGCGATTGGATAGCACGCACAAAAGCGGAATCCTCCTGCAAGGATTGCCACTGCTATGCGAGCAATTATGGCATCTGATTGAAATAAAACAAAAGCGAATCGATTTCCATTTAAACCAACAATAATTTAGTCTTTATTTCAAGCCGAGCTTATGTAGTGCACCGGGCATTGCCGCTGATTACATTGCGTATCCAGTCGAAGTAGTAGTAGACATTGGCCTGCACATCCGGAAAGCCCTTGGCGCAGGGTCTGCCCCAGTTGACCACGCCCACCAGGTAGCCATTGCAGACGAGCGGCCCGCCCGAGTCGCCGTGGCAACCACCCTCGCCCTCCTTGGAGAAGGTGCACATGTGGCCCACGCCCATATTGTCCGTCTGATTGAATATTTCCAGGCACTCCTCGAGCTTGACAAAGTTCATGGAAACCTTTTGCAGATTCGGATTGGACTCGCCATTCGGCACCTTCGACCCCCAGCCGGTGAGCACAACCTCGTCGCCTTCGCGCAGCGGCCCCACGGGCAGTGGAATGGGCTGGGTCAGCTCGTTGAAGGTTATATTCCCGCTAACCTTCACCAGAGCGATATCGTTGTGCATGTAGGGCTTGTCGTACATGCAGTGCACGTGCACCTCCTCCGTGTAGTAGACGCCGCCGGGCTCCGCATAGCGATTCGTACCCGTGACCACAACTATAAACTCGGGCGGAAAGTTGACGACGCAGTGGCCCGCCGTAATGATCCACCGCTCGTTGAGTATGGCACCGCCGCAATTGTGGGCGCCCAGCACCGGCTGCAGGGAGACCTGATACTTGGCATACCCGACCTCTGCCGTCTGGCCACCCACAATGCGCTCTTCCATAGACGCTCCAGTTGCATCCATATCCATCAGACGCTTAGCTCTAGACAGCTCCTGATGCTGCTGCACCAGCAGAACTATTAGGCAAATGTGAAGAATTTTCATCTTTTCCGTAGGACATACAAAGACGGACTGAAATGTAAAAATGCTATAAGAGTTTTATCGAAGGTCTATTCGCCAGGCATTTTATCAGGGCAACTTTATGGATGCCTTCGACCGTTTACGATTGCTCGAGCGATAGCCAGAGCATTGCATATGCTTATACTTGTACTTGGCTTGTTCGTGCTGACCAAGTTCAGTTCTTATGGGTCCCATTTCCGTTCTTTATCAACTGGTACAAAGCTAGATTTCTATTGGGAGCATGTTAATTATGCAGGATGATAAAAGCTTTTATCGAGGCATAAACTATTAAATATTGTATTTACTTATTCCTTAACCTTAACTCGAACTTTGAATATTTTTAACTTTGAATATCTTTATAATAGTTATTTTAGTTCTTATGTATGAACTTTTTATCATATTCGTGGTCTGTTCCTAAATTATCGAAATTTCACACAAATTAAAACTAAATATTCCAGATATTATTCAAATACACCTCGTGGATATATTATCGAAGTCCTCTATATTTATCAATATTGTCGACTCTTTTATCATACTATTGTATAGACTATTGCTTGACCATTAATTGATACATGTAGTCATAAATCAGTTAATTGTCGATATCGAATGCACTTATGTTCCGTCGATCCACCTTATCGCCATGGAACAAGCCGGTGCCGATCAATCAGTCTTCTCTTGGCTGTCAACTATGACACAATACAAGCTTTGGCTATTCCCACTCTTATTTTTGGTCGTCCTGCTGCTGCCACGCCCCGCTGAGCCAATTGTGGGCGGCCAGAATGCTGCTGCCGGCGATGCGCCCTATCAGATCTCGCTGCAGACGCTGGCAGGCGGCCATCTCTGTGGCGGGGCCATAATCTCAGGCAGCTGGATACTCACGGCGGGGCACTGTGTGAGTGGCTGGCCCGCGGATCGACTGCGTGTGGCCATGGGCAGCACACGGTACTCCGAGCCGGGCGCCGTGCACTATCCCGCTGCCATTTACCTGCACTGCAACTACGACCGGCCCAAGTATCACAGCGACATTGCCCTGCTCCAACTGAACGAGAGCATCGCCTTCGACGCACTCACTCAGCCCGTGCAGCTGGTGAGCGAGTCCTGGCCCGCGGGCAGCTCGGAGCTACTCTTCACGGGCTGGGGCACGCAGTCGGCGGGCGGTTCCACGCCCTCGCAGCTGCAACGCGTGCAACAGCAGCACATACCGAGGACAGAGTGTGAGGCGCGACTCGATGGCTATGAGGACGTTCAGCTGGGCGCATGCCACGTGTGCGTCTTTCGGGAACGGAATATTGGCGCCTGTCACGGCGACACAGGTGGTCCGCTCGTCTATAAGGATCAGCTCGTTGGCATCCTCAACTTCCTGGTGCCCTGTGCACAGGGTGTGCCCGACGTGTTCATGGACTTGCGCTACTATAGCGAATGGATTAGACGCACGATGACGGGCAATGGCAGATGTGCTGGGGTGCAAGTGCAGACTATCAATTAAGAGCTCAGCTCGATGAGTCTATTCCACTGATAATAGTTTAGGTTATTGAAAATTCGTGTTCTATTCTATGTATGTATTAATCTGCTATGCTCGAGAGATTATTAAAATTAAAGAGAGTTACATAGAGTTACATTGTTAAAAATGCAGTCGCCTCTCGTTATTTCAAAAATGGGATATTTTGAACCTCCCATTAATTCAAAGTTAGCACGACTCCCCTACAAAATCTCTTTATATTTCGAATTATGTTCATAAAATTTTATGCACTGGTCTATGTGTTCTATGGTCTATATGTTCTCTGGTTAGTGGTGGAAGTGAATGAAGATGATGCTGTTTCAGAATCCCTAACCGATGGTGAAATTTTATCTGCGTAAGATACATCATTTGGCAGAGGTATCAGTTAGGTAGCAGGAGCCTCATTGGATAATTTAACTTTTGTCTAAGAAAAGAAACTGATGAAACTAATATCAGTCACTTTTTCTCCTTAAAAAATTGTTCAAGCACCAATGAGTTTCGAAGCAAACCCGAATAATTGAGTTATTTTAAAAGATTGATCAATTTAAACCTACATTACGTATATGTAAAATTTCAGCAAACCCGTAGCTCTTTTCGTTCTTTTCAAAGAATTATTAATTTGAACATACATATATTACGAATATGTAAAATATCAACAAATATTTTTTTTTTCTCTTATGTACATTACTAGCTCTACGGATATGTGTATTAGATGATAAAAGGATTCTGATCATCTTTGATGAATTAGTTTCAAGTATGAAATTCGCAGGACAGTGTTAGCGATGCTTTTATATACGTTCATACCTCAACTAGACAAAATTTAGTCAATAAAAATACTAGCCATTAGAATCGGGTGTATGATGATCTCAATATTGAGTCAATCTTTTGTATTTATAAGCGCTTAAAAAACTCCCGGAATAAATATTTCTATCATCTGTAGTAAACTAACATAACAAAGGGTAGGTTTCGGGTGAGGCATTGATTTGCAGCGTTTACAAAATCACCAACATTATACAAAAATTCTTAAGACACAATAAAAACAAAACATTTTTTGGTATCTCTCAATTGATAAGATTACTGTCGAATGTTTTAAATATAAATTCATTATACTGCAGACTTCTAGAGTTAATGCACAGACACTTGCTAGAGCTTGCATTTTATTTAAAAATAATGCCGTCAGCTCATAAGTGATTCAGTGAAATTTTTCCCGCTTATCGAATGTCAATTTGAAATTTCTTTGAAAAAAAAAATAAAGTAAAAGTTCCCATACTGTGTTATCAATGATATAAAAAATATGACCAATTTTGTTTGCCAAAAGTTTTGTTTGAGTTTTAGTCACGTCTTTTATCTTTATGCGAGTTGCTCGATTATTGAAAGTGTTGCTGATAAGAAATGAGATATAAGCTAGGCTGTGGCTAGTAAATACCCTGCGGTGAATGAAATATATATCTATCTATATATCAAATGTAGTATTATTCTATTATAGAAAGGCTTTCGAAGCAATAAGATTTTATATATGATAAGACATAATTATAAATATCATAAACGTATACAAGTACATAAGACCCCATAAAATAGTATAATAATTAACAGGGTATTTAAGAGTGAGCTGTCTGCATTGAAACATGGGCGCTATGAGGCGCAGCAAGTTCAGTCGATCAGCGATTGTCACGGTGAAAACATTAAATCGGCAAATAAATTACTAAACGAGTACGAAACGAGCTGAAAAAGTTGATCAAGAATTCTACAAATACACATACAAGAAAAGTTATATCTAACAGTTGAGTAGAATATATATAACAGTAACATAATATGCAAGCGGAACATAATCTTGGCGAGCACGCTAAATGGAAGCAAATCCAGGAAAATACCTTCACTCGCTGGGCCAATGAGCACTTGAAGACCGTCGGCAGTTCCATAGACAATCTGGAAACGGATCTGTCGGATGGTCTGCGGCTGATTCAGCTGGTCGAAGTGCTGTCGCAAAAGCAATTGCCATCGCATTGCCAAGATCCGAAATTCCGTAGCCAGAAAATGGACAACGTTTCGATCGCCCTCACCTTCCTCATGAATGAGGGCATCAAGATTGTAAATATTGGTGAGTGGAAGAGAGTTCAGCTGGGCACTCGGAGCTAATCGCAGCCATTGTAGATTCTACGGACATAGTCGATGGCCGATTGAAGCTGATTCTGGGTCTGGTGTGGACCCTCATTCTGCACTACTCCATCTCGATGCCCGTGTGGGAAGGGGATGAAGAGAAGCCGCCAGCAGAAGTCACGCTAACGCCCAAGCAACGGTGGGCTTTATCTTTCTTTCTGATAGCAGGCCTAATCTAATTTTTGCCTTTGCAGTCTGCTTGCTTGGATACAGTTCAAGATTCCCTTCATGTCCATCACCAACTTCACCAGGGACTGGACCACGGGCAAGCCAATAGGTGCTTTGGTTGATGCCTGTGCCCCCGGCTTGTGCCCCGACTGGGATCTGTGGCATCCCGAGAACTCCGTGCAGAACGCCACCGAGGCCATGGAGCTGGCTGATGCTTGGCTGGATGTGCATCAGCTGATCAAACCCGAGGAGTTAGTCGATCCCAATGTGGACGAGCAGTCCGTCATGACTTACCTGGCGCAATATCCCAACTGCAAGCTCAAGGATGGCGCACCACTGCGGCCCAAAACGGATCCCAACAGGTGAGAGATGATTTCCCTAATGTACATATGAAATGAAGGTGAATGTAGATAATGCTCATTATCTATCTGCCGATCCCTAAAAGTATGCGTTATTTTACCCACAACTTTTATTATGTTAAAGTCTATATTTAAATGCATAAATCTCTATTCTTCTTTTTATTCAGCATTCCCATTGTTGTACCCATTACACCTGTGCCTGAGCCTGTCATCGTGCCCGCTGAGGTGTATCCAGGCACCGAGTCTTATCCGGCGGAAGTATATCCGGAAATTGAAAGTACACCCGCCGAAGTTGATCCCGGCTATGAGATCGTTCCTGCTGAAGTGCATCCAGGTGATGAGATATTTCCTGCTGAGGTGCATGATGAGATATTGCCAGCTGAATCTTATCCTGGCCCTCGTCCCAATGGCCTCATGGATGGGGAGCCCGCAATCGTACTTATTGATGCCTTTGAGAGAATAGATCGTAAGTTCTATCAAATATATATCAAGTCTTGAAGTAAACATTTCTTTATGCTCTATTTAGCAAACCATAGGACTGCAATTGGAAAGCTATACGATCTGTACGACTCTAGCTACTTGATCACGGGCAGAGCCTTACCCGATGCCCAGAGGTACAACCATCTGACTTTTGGTATTATAGAGTTCCCTCAGTATTATAAGGTCCTCTATCGATAGATTTGCCATTAACTTTGTGTTGGAAAACAACGATGTAGCCCTGCACATCAATCCACGATTCGATCAACAATGTGTTGTCCGCAACAGCCAGGTAAGCGGCTCTTGGGTCCGTGAGGAAAGGCAGTCCACATTGCCATTTCTGTTTCGGCGCGGCGAGTACTTTGCCATTCAGGTGCTCGTCACACAGAGCTGTTACCTGATATCCTTCAATGGCCATCACATGGAGCCCTTCGTACATCGAATGTCATACGCCAAAGTTCGTTATCTCGAAGTGGCAGGACATGCGGAGGACATACGTATACATCGTTCTGAGGTTCACAGCTATCCCAAACAATTCATAGATGGAATGGTAAGTATTGAATATATCGATCATTTGCATATTTGGTATAAAAAATGTATTAATTCTTGTGCAAGATTTATTACTTGTCTGAACATATCAAAGAACAATTATCAATTCTATTTGCATTCTCGATATGAAGATATTAAGCCTCGAGTTTTCTTCATTTCTCTGATCTTAATTAAAATAAAATCTCTTACTACTCCTTATAGCCTGAACCTTACATGCCGTTGGATTTACATCCCACAAATTACAATAACGATATCGAAGTGGAGCCACTTAACGAGGGAGATAGTTTCCTTTTCAGTGGGGAAATCGATCCGAAGTGTGAAGTGTAAGTTTAATAAATCTGAAGCGTTTCTTTTATAATAATATCTCTTTCCTAGATTTGAGATATCGTTTATATATCCGAATGCAGCATACAGAGACTTTCCCTTCCACCTTAAGTCTCTCTTCAAGAAGAATCAATTCTTAATGAATAGCAAAATAAATAACGAGTGGTGCCGCAATGCTGTCTCCAATCGAACCCCATTCCGCAAAGGCGAAAGATTTACCATTCAGGTGCTCATCACAATCGACTTTTACCTGATAGCCATAAATGGTCGACACTTTACCAAGTTTGCCCATCGGATTCCCTTCCAAGGCGGTAACTTACTCAGAGTCCAGGGTGGCATTCACGATGTCAAAATGCATCGCACTAGAGTGCTGGACTACCCTCAATCCACATTGCAAAGGCAAATTTTGTGAAGATTCATGCAGTTCTTACGGCTTAAGTTGAAGGCTATTCTTATACACAGTTCTTTTTATTTTATGATTAAAATTAATATGAATAATTAAAAAATAGTTTAAGAATATTTAAAATATTATATGTATTATAGAGCTCCTTATTTTTGAGTTATACGCCATCTTACCCTGATTTCACATTTTTAATGGGATATATAAATCAATATTAATTTTTCAATTCCCTTTCAGCTTTTCAAAATTATATAAATTAGAAAAAAGAAAAGACTTTCTATTCTTTATAGTATCTAACTTCCATATATTATGGCACATCAAAGAGCTATGAATGAAAATTTCGACTTCTTAGTTAGGGTATCTCCTAGTCTAGCATATGTCTTAAAGCAGATTTTCCCTATGAATGAATCATGCCTTAAGTAATTTTTTCACATAGATGAAAATAAGTTTCGACTTGCCTAGAGAAAATGTAAAAAGTAAAACTGTTTGTGTGTAAACAGTTTTCCCTCTATATTTTTCGTTTGGCAGACGAGTCAATGCATATCTCTCTATCGAATATTGATTAGATTTGATTTAACAGGAAATTAGGTGAGAGGAAAGAAAACTGCGTCGGCGAGAAAATGCTGTTAGGATTTTGATTTACGAGTATGTCCATGTCAAATGGGATTGTCTGCTACGCTATACGCGCCGCCAATACACGTGTCGCTGCTCTAATTAAGGACAGGTAGACTCAAATGCAAACAGACACACATAGTCTTAGTAATGTTCGAAAGATATGAAATGCTCGACGCGGTTGCTGTCAAGAATTGCTCAAAAAGATATGGAAATACTGAAAATATATATATATTTAATTTTCGAAATAATTTTTTGCCAGACGCTCTCAAATGCTCACATAAAACGTATATATACATATATGAATATATGGCATGGTAATGGCTGAGAATTTTCGAAAAACAGAAATTTCAGTTGTTGCATTGACTTCGAAGTGTGCGGAGCATTTGCGTGTCGTGTCTAACGTCTAAGAGGGAATACGCGGCGTATACGCAATCGAACGATTCAAGTGCCAAAACAAAAACGTGTAGCTATATATACATATGCGTATATGTACATATAGTGTATATATGTGAATATATACATAGACGATATACTATATGAAGGCGCGTGTGTTGTACATATAGCGCCCAATAATTACTCAATTAGAGCATAACGCAACAAGATCGAGCAAAAAATGTCAAAGTATGTGCAGAGATTATTGCCTTTTGAAGGCAACAGATGAAAATCTAGAGAAATAAAATATGTGTGTATATATATGTTTATACATATATGTATATATGCGTACGTGTTTAATAATATGTGCTAGCAAATGAATATATATATATGTTTGGTCTAGATTATTCAATTTCTGAGCATTTATTTCCGATTTTGCAAAATAGTTGCCATTTCTTTTTGTATTTTTGATATTTTTGACGGACGTCTCCCGAGTGCACACTGGAGTCCCTAGTCAAGTCGGATCTCGCGCCAGATGTTTGGGCCTAACAATGTAGTTGGTTCTTAATTTAGATACAGTTGCACGCCTCAGCACACCTGAGTGAATATATTCAGTGGAAGAATTATAAAGACTCTCCATAATGAACTTTCAAGAATTTTTTTAAATATTGCGAACAATTCTGATGTTTCGCAATTTTGTGTGTTTGGGCATGAAATGGGCTTTATTTTTGGCTATGGTCATAGGCAAAACATCAAGAGAGGCAGAATGTGTGTATGAGAGAACTTACAAGTGAGAGCGTGATAATGAGCAGGATAGAGAGAGAGAGAGAGAGAGAGAGAGAGAGAGAGAGACACTTTTAGCCAATTGTTTGCACGTGAATAATTGGAGGACGCCAACGCGACGTATGCGTAACATTAAATTATAAACAGCTGCTGACAAGCCATAAAATGCGAGCACAAAAAATGAGAATGAAAAATAAACTATAGATAATATAAATTGTACATAAATTATTTAATTTTGGAATTTTTGTTGTTTCTTCATGTAGAAGTCTTTGATATAGTTAATGAGAGTTATAAGAGATATGTTTGATGCGTAGCAGAAACAGTTAAAGTTACAGATACAGATACAGATACAGATACAGATACAGATACAGATACAGATACAGATACAGATACAGATACAGATACAGATACAGATACTAAAACAAAGCATATCTCTTCTTCGCCTCACGTCCTCTAGTATATCTACCTCTTAATTTTATTCTAGCTGAAAATTCAATAGAAATTTTTGCAATGAGAAAATAAGAAACAATTCATTTGGTATACCGGTTTATTTCATCTTTAATTAAATATAAATCACTTAAATTTGAGCAGAGATTTTGCAAAAAGTTTTTTTTTAACCCCGCGCGAAATACAGAATGCGAATAAAATCAAAGAATTTATGTTATATGCTGATCGGGTTAGTGAATTAGTCATGCGACATGCCGCAAAGAAYATGCAGCAGCAGCAGCAACAGCAAACACATTTATTTGCTTTCATTTCATATTTTTTATGAAGTCTGGCCAACTAATAGAATATATATTAATGGTTTATATAAAAACATATATTTTGGGGTATATTTTGCAAACGCAAATTATGAGTCACGAGCGGAGGGGCGAATTCGTCTACCGAGGGGCTCCGAGGACAAATGACAGTACGTCTGCAATTGGCAACAAATCAAGCATGCTTAACAACAACAGAAATAATAAAAACAACAACAAAACAACAACAATTGCCTCTATTTATAAAAGAACAACAAAATCAGCTGCGCGCAAAAATCGTCCAAAGTTGTTTGTGGGCAATAGCGCCAAAAGCTGCTGCTGCTGCTGCCTCTGTCGCTGCCAATTGCCGTTGAGCACAGAGTCAAGAGTGCAGTCGACGTCAACAGCGACGCTGTTGTCGTTGCTGTTGCCGATGTGCGCTGCAAGCAGCGAAAATACAAAGCACAAAACATGCAGCGAAATAAATATTGAAGAAATTATGTATTGATGATGATCAGCACAGTGCGTGCTACTTGAATAGAAACACTTGCAGCATATTTTCAGTGGATATATTTCAACTATGGAATATTTTCTATATACTCTACACCATATTTTATTGCTTATGTATTTTTTTATATACATTTCTGTATTAAATTATGATCAATTTTATATACTTTAGACTATCAATTGGGAATACATTATTATACATTGAAATTTGCGAATATGGTATTCAGTTGATATGGAATCACTTAAATACTCCAATATACACGTTATCTATATCTTCTAACTATACATTTTACAATTATTTTAGACTGCTGCTAGGCATATGTCCACTGCTGTAAGATACTGCGAAAATAATAATAAAGAAATTGAGCGAAAAACAGAAAGAAATAAAAATATATGTAAGAGCTGCGCGCGATTTGGCTGCATAAAAACATTGAGCAAGGAGGCGAACCGAAGTCAGTCGAACTGAGAAATTGCGACGAGCAGAACATTAAAGATTACAACCTGACTAACGACAGTCACAAAAACAACAACAACGAGTCGTTTACCAAGTGCCAAAGTCAAGTTCCCCAATGTGAACAAAACGCTCGAGCAAATCAAACGGAACAGAACGCGCGCAGCTCATAAAATATATAAAAAAATAAAAATATTGAAATAAATATTTTCAAAAATATTTGATAACCAAAGACTCAAAGTGCAGAGTGAACAGTATTACAAAAACAAAATTAAAAAGATAAATATATTTTTTTACATAAATAAATTAAGAGCAGAAAAATGGCAGCACGTAAAGTGAGTTTTCCTTTTCTCTGTGTGTCCCCATCTTTGCTTTTCACCTGTGCACACACAATTTCCTAGACAGATATTCCATTTGCATGCTCTTTGGCCAGTGTTGATCAAGTTGTTTGAATTTTGGGTCGGAATGGAGGACATGTGTTTTGCATTACCTTTTCATAAAGCACAAAAACAAAAACAAATTTAAAATATTTGTCAATTTATTTATAGACAACATTTTCTCTCTCAGTATGTGTGTGTGTGTGAATATGCAAATGTAGTTGCATATAAATTAAAAATAATTAAAATGGAAGTGAAAATTTATTTAGCATTTCGTTAGGTGCGCTGCTGCTGCTGATTCATGCCCCCAAGGCAAACGAGCCAAGTGGCGCCTCACGTTCGTCTTGCTCAAACTGCTTTTGGTGCGACGCGCGTTTGGATTTATTTCCATATTGGGTTCGATTTTGTGTTTTAGCCGATTTTAAGGTCAGTCAGTCAGTCGCACTTGGGCTACTTTAAATGGTCAAGCTGCGGCTCCCTTGGGAGCACATCATGAAGGACATAGTTGCAAAGTCAATCGTAATGAGCTTGGCAAAAATGAATGAGATGAAGTTACCTAATGGCATGTAGTATAGCCTCTATAACACTCCTTCTAGAAGCCCAATCAATGATCAATCAACCAATTCATAATTCCCAAATATAATTCAATTTTGACTTATTTGACAGAAGTTAACAAGTCTTTGACAAGTCATTGATAATTTAAGAAAGATCATCATCGTCAATCATATCAAGCATGTTCAATCAAACAGCAAGATATCTTTTTTTGACAAATTTAAGGAAAATAATTGAAAATTACACTTGTCTATCTTAAGTGCGAAAGCTGGCTTTGCGAAGTTATTAATCATATCTATCAACCTTCAATCAATTAGTGTTTTAATCATATTGACTGTTTTCGAGAAAACAAAAAATTACCCTCAGTAGGACTTGAGCTCCTTAACAACATTATCTATCAGTCATTTATCGATCAAGTATATTAATAATAATTTCCTTTTAGTTGGGATATCTCATACGCTAATTAAAACTAATTAATTTCATAGAAGAAACAATATAAATTTCCCTTCAGTATCAATCAGACAGCATTGTAAATTTTGATATTGCTCTCATTGATTGCAGCTAAATGGAACAAAATTTAATGTGCATAATGTTCAATCAAACAGCCCCCACTCTACGTTGTTTTTGGATTATTTGAACAAGCC